GCCAAGAACGCTAGCTGCATTTCCTCGCTGAATAGTTATGCTTAACCTTTGAGCGAGAAAAGAACCAGCTCTTGTCACCAGCCGCGGCGTTAAGCCTAGGACATAAACTTTTAAAAAATTTTGATATGCATACGCATAAATACCCCACGGACCTAAAGTTTCAACAGCAAATGGCACAAATACATAACCCAAACATAAAGGGCCTGACCGAAGTACCCCTTAGATGAGAGGCAGCGAAATTGTCTACACAAGTGGCTTCCCAAACAAGGGCTTTGCCTCTCTCCCAAGCGATCAATGTTAAGCCGTCGGGTCTCTTACCATCGTGACGAAAAATGCCACAGGGGTCTAAAATAGATGGAGCATTGAGCAAGAGCCCTACGGATGATGTCGTTCCGGGAACCGTGGCGGGAAAAACGGCCAGCACTTTTTTGACAAGAAAGCCCGTGGAGACCAAATTTGTCTATACTGACACCAAAAGGGCATTGGTGTGGTTGACAAATCGGTGCCCCCAGACGGATTCCTACAGCAATGTGTAAACTCAAGTCAAGTAAAGTGCCCAAGTTACTTGATGGTAAAGCGTGAAGCCAATAACTCGATTAAAATATAAATTATATATAATATGCATTATCGTCGAACGCGAGGAAGAGAGAAATGGAGTGGAGATTTATTTCTCAGATCTATGATATCTCTAACGTAATCTCATTTTCATTTGATTCTAGTGCGACTGACTACAATAAAAAAGTAAAAAGTAAAGTAACAGCCTATACATGTCCCACTGCTGGGCAAAGGCCTCCTCTATAGAGAGGGTATCAGGGCATAGTCCACCACGCGGCCCCACTGCGGATTGGCGGACTTCACATATCTTCGAAATACATTTTTTTTTTGTTATTATTTCGAAAATATGCAGGTTTCCTCACGATGTTTTCCTTCACCGCGGAGCACGTGATAAGTCAGCACTTAAAGTTAAAAACTTCATTGGTGCCGGCTGACTACAATATCATTATTAAATGTATGTTTTGCCATAAATACCATTATAAAACATTAGCATGGTTTTCGTTTTTGAATATTAATAATGCATTAGACATCGGAAAATTGTTTCTCTATGTCCAGCACCCACTAATTGCACGAAAGAATTATAATAAAATAATACATAAAGGTATGTGTTAAATTAATTATTAGGTATCGCAAAAAATTCACATATTTCACCAACGAACGCTGCTCTGCAGCGCTGAAATGACCCAGTTTTTCCTAAACGTTCCATTTCGAAAAGCAATAGATTATTAACACGGCATATTCACCGCACATATGAGGAAAGCTGTCTATTAATCTTTACAAAATGACCATGAGCAAGCAAACAAACAAAGCAAGCAGTCAAAAGCAACACGAAATTATTAAGACGCAGCGTGGTGGTCTTTCTATATATTTCTTTCTAGCTTTCATTTTGAACATGCTTATAATAACTTCAAAGTATATACATGTTTATTTATTTAGGTCAAGCTAAATTAGCTTATATAACAAGTCCCACCACTAATTGGTGACGGTTGTAATGACGATATATCTGCGAAAAATATTTATAACTTTTTATAATTTTTCGAAAATATGCAGATTTCCTCGCAACAGACTCCAGAGTTGCACGAATGGGCAGGTCCGTCCGGGGAGGTACCACGATCTTACAGAAGAGCGCGTGCTCGCTGGGCACCGTTTCACATAAAAAAGCTCAAACATATACAAGGAGACAAGAATCGGTGTCCGCCGTCGACAACGGCCGCTGCTTTCAGAGAGCCGTCCACCTATTGAACGCAAATCAAAAATGTAAGCCGCACTTAGTGATCGTTAATAAATAGCACCACAACTATCATTGAACAAAAATTAAATTATTGGTTCGACTAAGTCCACATCCCTAAAACAGCCTCGCGGTACGGTATATAAGCCCAGCGCCGTCGCGGTATAGTTTCTCGTTATGTCATTTTGGAGCGACAGTAAAGGCCCATTTACACGATGCCATTTTCTTGTACATGCAAGAGCGATAATTGGCTAGACCATTTGTTGTTTAGACCATGCAACTTATTTATTGCTTCAATTTAATTGTATACAACAGGCAAGAAACTGGCACCGTGTAAATGGGCCTTAATGCTTCCATGTTTATTTGCGTTCACTGCGTCCACCGTATCCTGTGGCACGACGCGGAATACAATGAAACACGACAGTCGTGTGTCCGTGCGTGTCATTCGACGTTGCCGAACATTTAGCCAATATGTATGGCCTACGTCACAATCTAAATCGATAAGTTTATATTTTCATTAAGGAAAAACAAAACTGACTGCAAATATCTCGCTCCGTATTCGTTTTATTTTGTATTAATTTTATTATTACATTCAGGAGTTCCTAAGCATCTCCGGAGCCCAAGATCCAATTCCAAAGAGATTAACATGTGACCACATGGGAAACACGAGCATTAAAATAAAAAAGAATCATCAAAATCGGTTTATTCAGTCGAAAGTGCTGAGGTAACAAACATAAAAAAAATGTAGTCTAATTGAGAAACTCCTCCGATTTTGAAGTCGGAGTCATATATGTCAGGAGATGGAAAACCAGCTTGCGGTTCACCTGATGTCAAGTGATTTTTTGCATCACCCGTAGTGTTGCAGATGCGTTGTCTCACCTTATAAGAAAGTGGGCCCCGGCTACCTCACCCACCAGACAAAACGCAGAAGTGTAATATTCCCGGTTGTTGATTCACAACTGTGGTAGCCCTACCACAATTATCACTCGTTATTGACACTTTTTTATAGTAACAAGCTTTACTAATATTACAAGTTAATAAGGTTCTTTATAATGTGCGTAATTATTACTTATTGGTCGCCCAGCGGTCGAAATTCGACCATAATTAATTATACATGGTAGCGTATGTAACGTTTTTTTTTTTATTGATTAAATGTACTTTTATGCATAATTTTAAAAAATATAAGCATTCTGCAATCCTCTATTTAGACTGTATGTGTGGGAAATTTCATATTCCTCCGTCCGCGCTTACTCTTTTGATTCACGTTAAAGTATCTGCCATTTAGGACCGAATAATTATTGGGCTATTTAAAACACGTCAGTAAGTTTGCCTTCATACATAACTCAACAAATGTCCCGAACGTGAAGACAAAGAAGAGTCGTTGGAAGGAAATAGTCACAACTTCAAGTATATTAATTACGAATATTAATTAGCGTCCCTGAAAGTAAAGCCATATTTATTATACCTCCAAATCTAGACTTCTTACACATACTACGCAATACACACAAGTGCGACAGAAAAATAAAGGAAACTAGATCTAATGCCACAAGGAATAAAGGACAAAACGGCTCAGCATAGACGACGGTCACGCAACGAACTTCGCTGCGGTACTCTCGAACTTAAGAAGAGATTGATTGCTATCAAAGCTCACTCATTCATTACCAGTCATTATTTTCGATTAACTTACTGGGAATTTAGGCTGATAACACACAATGCGGCATGTTCCCGCGACGGTAAATATTGGTAATTTCAGTACTCTTTATGAACTGGAATTCAATAATACTATCGGACTGCGGAGGTCGTATTTGTAAACAAGACAGTCGCTGGACCGCAAAATTTGGATAGTTATGGAATAATGTTGAGGGCAAGTTTATTTGGGGAAGTACCACGGCCACACAGCTTTTGCGTTTCGTCTGGCGAGAGAGATTTTTAAAAGTTGATAACGCTCTTTTTAGGGTTCCGTACCCAAAGGGTAAAACGGGACTCTATTACTAAGACTTCGCTGTCTGTCTGTCTGTCTGTCTGTCTGTCTGTCTGTCTGTCTGTCCGTCCGTCTGTCACTAGGCTGTATCTCATGAACCGTGACAGTTAGACAGTTGAAATTTTCACAGATGATGTTTTTCTGTTGCCGCTATAACAACAAATACTAAAAAAGAGAATAAAGAAATATTTCAGTGAGGCTCCCACACAACAGGCGTCATTTTTTGCAGTTTTCATAGGTAGCATGGAATCCTTCGTGCGCGGGACCGACTCGCACTTGGCCGGGTTTTTTTCATTTACACGGGGGGGAAATGCCTACAGCTACCATATGAGGCAAGGCCACGTTACGTCACCAAGCGCATATCGGCAGCGTCACGGGAACGGTTTCGCAAACTACCGCCACCATAGCGGCGTTTGTACTAATCAATTCAGATATACAAAAGTACTCTTTGGTACTAATCAACCCCGCCTAGAGGCAACGACCGTTTGTCAACTCTCGTGCATGTGATGTGTGCTGGAAAACTTCTTCCTAACGACCCGATCGGCGTAGTGGATAGTGAACCCGTATCATGCACCAGAGGGTGTGGGTTCAATCTCCACTTCAAAAGTATGTGATAAACAGTGTTTTTCTAGAGCCTGGTCGTTCGTATATCGATAATAATAAATATTTTAGGATACATTTTTACACAACTTTCTCTAGACCCTAAGCAAAGCTTGTACTATGGGTACTAAATAACGGATAAACATACTTAAACATACTATTCTTGTGTAAATAAATACATAGTATACATAGATAAACCCAGACACTGGGAAAACACTATGTTACAAAGTACAAATTGAAATGTGTGAGTATAATCTATGCACCCGCTATCATACATGACACAATATAATCATAGAATATAAATCTCACAATATAAATGTAAAAAATGAATAAATAGTAAACAACTCAACATCGGTTAAGTTATTTACTATTTATTCAACTCGCTTGGCATTTTCACACATATCAAAAAATCATATTCAAAAAAAAAAAACATAAACAAAACCATTACGTACGAAAATAATTTATTTACTTAGTTTAATAAATATGATTGTATTTTTGATTGCGGATCATCAGAACAATTATTACTTCTAAACATTCGAAAAAATACATTTAAAAAAAAAACTTCAACATGCAGTTTTTGATAGACAATTTTCAAACGGTCGCCCGCCGGTCGTACGGGTCGCATTCACACCGTCACCACGCGTCGATTATCGCCAAGTCGTGCAACAGCGGATCCTCGAGGTCCGTCATCAGCGATGCGGTGTGACGGCGGCCCACGCGCGCACCCCTGCGGGAGTCCGGGAGCTCGCTTTTAATACAATGTACTCGATCTTGTATCTTGTATTAACTAACTGATGTTTTTGCTTTCAGTCCCTAGACTATTAAAGCATCAACTGACGCAGAACCCATGGCCTAGGCGGAACCCACGGGTAATCGAGTGGTGGACTGCGACCTAATAACCTCTGTACAGATAGGCCCTTTGCCCGGCAGTGGGATATATAGGCTGTTACTTTACTCTTTTTCTTGTTTAAAAAAAACATGGCCCTTACTATTACTATACTATAGTACTATTAGTATAGTATTACTAGAGTATAACATTTTCCTGTGTTGTAAAGACGTTTTACATACATAAATTACACGCTGACAAACATACAGATGCGAAACAACTGTCTGTGGGGTCACAGAAATGGTCGTCCCGTGTGGGTATCGAACCCACGACACCCGACGTCTAAGTCAATACCTCGGCAACTGCGCCGCGGAGTCACCGCTCTAAATTTACTTACATGACTGAAAGCTATTAATGCAAATATGCGGCCGTGAAATGGTTATTTGAGATTACAAACCAGAGCCAACGACAGCTCGGAGAGCAAGTGTTAACAAGCATCACTCCTTGATATATTTTCAACGATCTGGACCAACAGAGTGCGCGCAAACGTTAATTGAATATGTGAATACACATGTACAAAAATTTAAAGGAAACGGGACGCATTGGGAGCTGGAGTATTGCCCTCTCGCTCGCACCTTAGTCTTAATATCTTTCTGTCTTGCTACCACTAAATGTTGTTATATTAATAGCGAACAATGTTTTTTTGTAAACCTATTTTTTGAAATTAATTGCTAATTTAATTAATTAGCTGTCAAATGCTACGTAAGATCCTTGCAAGAGGAATTAATGAGATTAGCGTAAAAATAAATGACGGGAAAACGAAGGGCAGATATTTTTTTTTAATTTACCTACAGGTTTATAACTCGAATGGTAAATTGTAAATACTATTCAAACTTCTTTACGCGTTACTTTGAATTTTTCCACAATAAAAGACTTTTGACAGTCAACCGCTCGCCTTTGAATAAATGGAAAGATTTGTGTAGGTTATAATACCATAGACAAAATATAATCCTAAATACTACCACGTCAACTAAATAAATCAATTACAATAAATTCGAAACTAAGAATATGTAAATATATACATATATAAAATTTATACTAATACTACCCACAGCAAATGTTAGTAATAAAATTAAATAGAGGTATTAGTTTAATAAAAAATTATGCTTAAACAAATATATTTATTTTCATTAAATAATTAAATGCAATACAAAAAAAAATCAAGTTTGATTACAATAGATATTACAAATATGTTTAATAACTACATATTAGTATTGTCTTATACTAACAACATTGTCTAAATAATATCTACATAGAACTAATAACAATATAAACTACAAAACTTTGGCAAGTTTCTTTTGGAAATCAGGTATAATCATTTTATTTTTATAACATTTTAAGCATTCTTATGGCTTGATAGTACCAATTTCAACAATCTAAGATATTTTTTTCCTTTGAATAAATATTATGTTTATTTAACACTATTATGGAAATAATATATCTTACAATGTTAACAAGATTTTGTACCATGTTAAACACATTAACATTATTTTCATTTTGAGAGCATATTATTTACATACATATGGTTTATTTTTGAGTTATTAATTGTAGTATTGGTTAAAACAGTGATTTAAAGTATTTAATGTATGCATAAATTGAACGTTACTGATACAGATAATCACACATAAGTGTGTAATTTTACATTTCATTCTTATGATCTAAATACCCAACCAATAAGTGGTGATATTCACATTAAATAATCTCATGATTGTAAAGTTGATGTTAGGTGCATAAAATTTCGAATATGAATAAGAAATACATAAAAATAACAAATGTTTCTCCGTATTTTGTCATTCAAATGCTCCAGACCGCAGCCCGCATTATATAAAACAATGTGCGTACTAACAAATCATAAGAGCGTGCGATTTAGATTGAATTATAGTAAATATAAATCAATAAAATCATTACAACTTATACTACAACTATAATACAACCACGGAAAATAACCAGAAAATCAGTCTACGGGTCTTGAACTAAGCTTCTGATCGGGCAATAATATAACTCACATAAGCTATTAGCATTATTATTATAAGAACCCATCCCACAAACATTCTCAAATCAGTCCAAACCGAAACCCGTTCTCTTACAAACCTCCCACTGCACCCAATTCTGGATTCAATATTTATCAAAACCCGAACCATACCAAAATCTCCTCCCCCCTTAACGAACCCCACTACGCCTAGCTACTGTCAACGGTGCTCCGCATGAAGTACCTCTCGAAGAAGTGCAGCAGCTCGAAGCAGACCTCGGCCAGGATAAGAGCTATCACCATCCACTCCAGCCGCACGTGGTGCCTGTCCGCGGCCCACGAAGATAGTAACTCCAGCAGTTCGACGCAGTGCGAAAGCCTCTCGTTCAACACCTGAAAAGGGAGACGGAGAATTAATCTCTCTCTTTCACTCGGAACCATATGCCAGTCAGTATCCATACTGCTGTATTGCATACAGCACTTTGAGAAGGGAGACAGAATGAAAGCTCTCTATTTCTCTCGCTCTATTTGCAACAGTAAGCAAACTAACAACATAATAGAATAACACTTTTTCTATTCTTCTTCACATAAAATCCACTGCGCTTGTACAATAGACTATGAGATCTGACATATCTACTATAAAACTATTATAGCTTGTACACTCACCCTGGTTCGTCTCGGAATTGTGAAATACGCCACTGTGTTTGAGTACAGACGCTCCAATTCCTCCTCCTCCCAGTAGAAGTCGGGAGTGTCCAAAAGGTCGGACTCAACGTTGAGACGGTGCCTTAAGGAGAAGAGCTCGCCGAGCTTCCTCACGACCTGAAGCAGAAAAGCACATTAAATATTCAATAACACACTGAGACAACTAATAACCATCAATTCATTATCAGTCACTTCATTCTTCATACTTATCAACCAATTTCAAGCAATTAGGTTCTTAATTTATTTGCTTATTAGCTCAGAACTGAAACTATATGTGTATCAGTCTACCAGCTGTAGCAACAATCTGACTGTTATTTTTAACCAACTAAGTCATTTATAAACCAACTATAAAAATTCATTTTGCATTGAGTTTTGTTTTGCTTCCATGCAGTCCCATATTTAATTTGTTGGGATTGGACCTGGAAGTCTAAATACATTAGAGAAGTCCTCAAACTCAAATAGAAAATGTATACAGTGAGATATAAGAAATTGATTTTGTTTTTAGTTAAATATATATTAATCAAGAAACACTTGGCTCCTCAGCTGTTCATAAACAGCTGACATGTGCATCTAGAATGCTTGGACACGGAACACTATTCTACCGCCTTATATCGAGTGCATATGTCGCTCTCTCTACACCATATATTTGCCATGTAACAAAATGTTCCCAAAATATTACCCGTCCCTGAAATTACACTCTTAATTCTAGTTCAACTACAGTTTTGCTGCCTAAAACTTCTACAAAATAAATACGTCAGTTATTTAAGTATGGATATAGTACATTTTATTGTTATTATGAGTTGTAATGGGGTACCGACTTCCTTCTTATCCACATAGGTGGCTCCGTCCCTCTCCATGATGGCCGTGTGTTGCCTCACTGAGGCAGCCAGAGCCTCAAGTCGTGCCTCCCAGGCTCCAAGGCGAGCTGACTGCGCCATGGCGTGGCTAAAACGTTTACACAGTATTGAACAGTGTTCCATTATGAAAAACTTAACATACAAAATTATAATTCTTAAGGCTACAATTATATTGTTTATGTGACAATTTATATTGTCGAAATAGATTTGTTCTGTAGCCAATTTCTCCGCCACTTTCAATGTTTATTTTTACATATTAAACAAATTATTTAAATGAAATTAAACAAATTAATTAATATATTTAAAAATTTGATGACTCCGCACAGTTATCAAGATATTGGCTTCGGTGTCGGGGGTCGTGGGTTCGATTCCCACAAGAGACAACCATTGTGTGACCCACAGACAGTTGTTTTGCATATAGGTGTTTATCCACATGAAATTTATGTTTGTAAAACGTCCATACAACACTGGATAGTTAATCTAGCGTAAGGGCAATGTTTTTAAAAAACAAAAAAAATTTATGAACATTATAGGTAGCAAATAGAACAGCAAATAAAAATTTTATTTAGAGTTTTCATTTAATACCTTATAGATTATATTTACTTATTATATTATATTACATAATTTCTTGAAGGTTTAGAGAGATTTCACATGATTGAATTACCTGAAACTGTATTTTTCCAACGAATTGTCTCTCCCTGGTACGAGAACGAAGCATGATTCTTGCAGGTGGCATTTCTTTCTGTTAAAAATATTCATTAGAAATTAGGAAATGTTCAGAGATGACATAATGATGGTTTTCTCTAAACTTTTGAAGAAATGTGAAACATTTTTAACAGTCAATTAAAAGTTTAACACATGGTGGTGTAAAGCCCTTAAACAATGGCTTTCCCAGAGTATTTCTAAAAAGTACGTACGAAACTTGTCCTCGCAACAATGTCGTCCAATGATATTTTATACAACAGATATGTTAACATGACCAGAGTAAAGCTACAATAATGTAGAATGTAATATAAAAATAAATTTACAAGACAAGCTGCTGTGAATGTACTCCATTAAGACAATGAAGAGTACTGGATACTGAATTCATTGTTTTAAACAATGGTTCCAATCCACCAATATATAAATGTTTAAATAGCGCTTAGTTTTATATATAAGAACAGAAACACAATAAATGTATCATCTAAATATTGTACATGTGTGCAGTAAACAATAATGACTATTTCTGATGTAATTGCAGTCAAACTACAATTGGTCAATACTTACGTATTTGGTTGATAGACATATGTCATCACTTCCCTTTCCCGTTGGATAACATCTATTGGATAGCTCTCAGTTTCATACCTGAAACGTTGACACATTATTTTAAGAGCTTTAATAGAAACTCTATTCATGAGTTTATACTTATTCATAACTTTATAGTTATTTATAAAAACATGTTTATTTTATTTTATTTCACAGTGATTGAACTGCGCAAGTGTTTCACATAATGGTGTTATAATGGAATGAACTAAATGAAAAGAATTAAATAGTAAAAAAGAAAATACCAAAAGTTAATAATTGTTAGTATAAAATAACATGATATTGATGTTTGAAAACAATAAACTTTGGAAAGGATTTCTTATACTGTACTAACAAATACATACATACTATATTTTGGCAATAAAGGTTTTACTTTGAACTAAACGAATAGAAAATCTAGCAATAATAATGTGAAGAATTTATCAGAAAAAAGTATTTTGCATAACTAGATGATTAACAAAAATACAAACCTTTTAACAAAATCAAGGACATTGCTTGCTTCCAATTCAGTGCAATTCCAAAATACTACAGCACCTTCTTTGAAGAATATTATTTCTCTCGGCTCTGTTCCAACAGCGTAAACAGGATTTGCAATCACAACATCTCCGACTTCATGAGCTTTTAATCTGCAAATAAAGTTATACATTACTTTTTCATTGATTTCTATAATTTTTACATATTATAGTTTTTAAAATTGTGACTTATATTTAAAGAATGTTCTTAATTACAACATTTACAATAACAAGGTTTCATTTATCAGAACTTTGATTCAAATTGTTATGCATAAGTCCCTAAGATAAATAAATGAATTTCATTTTCCACATGCGGTAACCCCAAACACTTAAAAAATAGTAAAGTTTAATGTAAAAATTACGTACTGTTGGCGCATATTACGTCATACTTACTTTCCAGGTTCATAGAGTTTCTGTTGCACTAGCGCTTCTTTCAAGCCTTTTAAATCATACGAATTAGCCGTAGCATAAGCAAAAGTTAAGAAATGTCCTTCTTTTTTCGTTAAGTCCTCAAGTACAGCTTTTTTGTGCACAGTCTTCTTTTTCAAAGTTATAGTGGAGCTATCTAAAGCCAAGGGTTGTATAGCATCACTGCTATAACTTCTAAATGATAACTGTCGCCTAAATTGGAATGGATCATGTTTATTACAAGTTAATAAAAGTTTTACCGGCGCGAACTCGAACGCATGCGAAGTCGTGAAAGTCTTATTGCAATAGTTCCGAAATGTAGTAACAACTATTCTCTTTAAACACAGTGACATTATTATTTCTATTTTATTAAAAAAAACAACGATAATCTTAATATAGCTTTACAAATAAGTAATCTTAAGGTTATGCGTCAATATCATGAAACTAGTAGGGTTTTGTTTTGACATTACAACTTTAGATGTGACATTACTTTTCTTTTTCAATTAGAAAACATAGAGCAAAGGCTAGCAAGCACACATCAGAAAGTATGACTTTCAAAGGTAAATGTAAATAACTTTAACTCTGGCGTAATTCAAATAAAATAAATTTTAAACGATAGATCACTAATGAATTCAATCAACAAGCATATATTATATACTAATATAATATAATATACTAATATACAAAACAACAAGTTTTAAATATTTTTTACTCGAAAACTATAAGCGACCGCCGAATTCTGCTTGTTGATTAATTCATTAGAGATTTTTCTGTATCGTTTAAAATTTATTTTAATTAAATTACGCCAGAGTTAAAGTTACTTACATTTGCCCTTTCAAATCAATATAAGTACATTTTATGAAATTTACTTTTGCTAAATGATTGTTGTAGAGATGAGGCGTATATACCGGTACAGGTATAAATACCCAGTATGAACGTACTAGTACGCAGACCGGGTATGTACGGCAGAGGCCCGTTCCGGACCCGATAGGTATTGTCGATATCGCTCGCGAGTACGCGGACCTAGCGCCGCCGGCGCCTCGTCTGACGGTGGCGATATTTCATAACGTTAGCGCTCGACCGCCTGTGACATTTTGAATTTTCTGAATTATACCAAATAATTCCTCGCGATAAATTTATTTCTATGATAATTAGGTAGATAAATAATTAAGTAATAAGGTTAAACAGTAATATTTATTTTAAATTACTTTTTTTTTGGTAATAGGGTTCTTTACGTTAGTAAAGATAGAGCTTATTTTAGACTGATTAAATCTCAATTTCAAAAAACTGATTGCTAAAAAAACGAAGTTCCAAAGGTTTGATTCGATCTAGTCTCCAAAAGGAGGCCTGAACATACCTTATACCTATAGGTATTTTGATACTTGGTTTTAGCACCGGATATACGGGGATACCCGTACCTTTGAGGCCGGGTACAGATGTTTCAAGTATATCTCATGCCTAGATTGTTGCTTAGAAGGCAAAGATTACCACTTGGTCCGATTGGTCCTGGGCATTCACAAAACACGTGTGATTACTGTGCACAGTTTACAGTTACAGCGCTGACCACCCTTAAAACATTTGGCCCCTGATTATCTCACACACAAAACGAAAAGAAAATTTCATAACTATATATAGATAGAAAGTTTCATAACTTTCTATCTAAATTATGAAACATTTTAAGTGGAAGTATAAGTACTGTGAATGACGTATCCGAGGTCCACTTTATTAAATGGTGGCAACGCATCTGCAAGCGTTCTTGGGCGGCAGGTGTCACGCGCTATCAGGTGAACCACCAAGGAGCAGGCGCCTTCTCACTTAAAAAAACCACTTGCTCGGTGGTTTCACTACCATAGTTATTTTTAAGTTAAAAAAAATATTGTTTCACTCTAACCAACTGAAACCCCATCGGCAACTATCCCCTATTTTTATTTTCAACGGTTTTTATAATCAAGTACAACCAATATCAATCAGGATAATAAAGAAAACAATTGACACAAATTTAATTTAATGATACAACATTATCACTACGTCTATTCTATTACAGTGTTTTCATCTTCAGCCGTGAACAAAGTGTGCAGTTTCCTGGCGAACTCTGGGCCGATACGCCGCGCTCTACTGCCGGGGACTGCCGAGCGAGTCACACCCAAATTCGCTATTGTCTGCACGCCATCCACTGAGAGCAATGTCTAAAATCATGGATTAATTTCAAAATCGTAGATTAAATTCTTAATATGCTTTTGTACCGACCTGTTTCGAATGCCGCACCACAAAAAATCATTTTGACAATTTATCTATAATAATATAATATAAGATGCAATTATTATATCTTCCATATAAATAAAAATAAATGTTGGTAAGTATATAATATATATATTTTATAAGCGCATAACTCAAGAATGGCTGGACCAATTCAGCATTCAACAGAAATAATCTTGAATGGGATAATTAAGTGATTTCTTGTATTTACGAAACATGGCATGGTTGAAAAACTTTCAAAATGAATCTGTAATTTTAAATAAGTTTCGTATCGGAGATCCATATCTCGTGCGGGCAAAGAAGTAATACATATGGTGATTGCTTGGTTTGTAATGGACAAAATTATTTTTTGTTGTGTAAATTTTTGAATTGAGGACTTTTCCATAAAAAAATAACATTTTTTCTTTTTTTCTTTAAAAACATTGCCCTTACTTTAGGATAACATTATCCTGTGTTGTAGGGACGTTTTACAAACATAAATTTAACGCGGACAAACACCCAGATGCGAAACAACTATCTGTGGGTCACACAAATAATTGTCCCGTGTGGGAATCAAACCCACGACCCCTGACGCCGAAGCCAATAACTTGGCAACTGCGCCACGGAGTCATCATTTGTAATTCGAAAGCAGATTAAGCCATTCGCTGAAGCTAAATATTATATGCACAAAGTACACAACAAAAACACATACCTCATATAAAGCCAAAGGTGTCTTATAATTAGAGCAAAGTGCGCGTGAGGTCTCAAGGCTGCATAACGGCAACACAGATATCATTTGTTGCCATAAATTGCTTAGACCGTTGCCTGGAAAATTTGAAATAGTTAACAGAAATGTCCTATATTTTTTTAAATATTTGCTAGTTTCATTAGATTAACTTCACTTTGCACTCGACGTGTATAGTCATAAACATGACTCACAATAATATAATCACGAGAATCATTCGTATGATTAAAACTGTCAATTAGGTGATTTAATATAATTACCACCATTAAAAATTATGAGAATATTGTAAGAGAAAAGACATTCGTTATATTCAGCCGTCATTCAGAATGCAAAGACATTATATTACATACTTTCCCGCCTTTTTATATACACCTTACAGTAGTGAACTTTTACCTAATACAAGTAACAATTATTTAAACAACAATTCAAATACAGTACTATATTAACACTATTTCATTAATTCATAACTATCAAGTAATAAATATAAAAAATATATTTACCGGATTGTCTTCAATAACAGTCAGTTAACCTTATTTAAATTTGAAGCCTTTAAATGAATTGTTTGTATAAATTGTTCACAGAAGGCTCTGGCAGCTTCGAAAGCTGTATAGACGGAACAAATAAAAAAGGTACCGTCTTTGTCCACAGCCACGCACTTCTTATTGTCACCGCGCATGTAAAAGTCCACTTGATCGTCGAACTCGTGTCTACTCCTCCTGAAATACAATTTTGTGATGAAATTTAATACCTAAAAACTAATGTCCTACATTTGCCTGCCAGTTACATTGAGTTTAGGAGGAAAACTTATAAGGGTGATAAGTTGAAAAAGCGATAGGTAGTGAATAAAGATTTAAAAACACAAGAACAGGTACACCTTTTTGATTGTCCAGTTCATATTATTATTTTTACCCTCCAGATTCTAGACTATCTATGGAAGATACAAGTAATATAATAATATAAATTAAATTATTATCAATTAGTGATGGCTCTATGGCCTTTCGAGAAACAAGTTAATTGTCTATGACATTTATATCGCATTATCGCAAATTAATTTTCGAATTAGTTTAGGTAGGTACATGCCGCTGAGTTTTTAAGGAACCAACTAACTTCCAAGTGGCTAGGCAATATCGTAACATTGTTTATCGGCATCTATCCGCATAATATTCAGTACGTACTTGTATGGCGCTTCCGCTATCGCTTTCGTGGACTGAACAATCAGTAGAGCAAGCTCGTTCCCCTGATTCACTAAAACCGTGTCGCATCCAGTGCTGACTAAGAGATCTGGGGGATGAAACGAAATTGACGTCGACACTCTATTATATTTGTGGATATTCTATATTTTGACGATGTTTTTTTACGTGAGAATGTGACAAGCGAGCCGGCCATTCTCCTGATGTTTAGTCCTAACCACAGCCCATTGAAATTATTTACTCATGCATATCTCTGATTACAATGATCCCTTAACACACATTTTAACCTTTTCGACGATTCCTACTTAGACGAATAGGAGGGAGGGGGGGACTGTTGCAAGTATCGCCAGTCTCGTCCATGTAAGTAACCAAGGGTCGCATTTTTTAAAGTTTGGCAACACGCCTGCAAACTGTCATTTGTTAGGGTTCCGTACCCAAAGGGTACAACGGGACCCTATTACTAAGAGTCTTCTGTCAGTCTGTCTGTCACCAGGCTGTATCTGATGAACCGTGATATTAAGACGGTTGAAATTTTAACATCAGGCGAACCACCTGCTCGCTTGCCAACTTTCACGTAACAAAAAGTCACATGTAGACCAAAGATCTTGTCGTAATCACTTAAGCACGCCTCACCTGTTATCGCCATTTCTAAATCCATTTCCGTTATCACTTCGTTCTTGTTCTCCTTGGTCCTTTTTGGTGCGGACCTGTAAATTAACGTTATTGGAGCGTATTGAAATTGATTCACATTCAGTTGAAATCAATATTCATCGTAGTAGAGTACCACTTCTTTATATTCTTATTAAGAGATGGTTCACATTGAATTTTAATACCGATAATAATAAAAGGAAACATTTGCAACACTCGTTGTTTGGCAGATGCGTTGTCACCTTTTAATACATTGGGGCTACCTCAATCACTAGTCGATACCTAATGGTAAGTGGCGGTGCAGCCAGCGATGGTAAGCGCCTTGAAGACTCCTTCGGGAATGAGGAGGGGGGGGGGGGGGGTCTTTTTTTGTTCTCACTTGAAATAGTCCTCCGCGCCGAAGACGACCAGTGTGAGTTTAGCGTCGGCAGCTTCGCTGACTTGGCGCACGTGGCCAGCTAGACCCCTCCGAAGGATGTGAGGGACCGCATCCGAGGCCGTCATGACGCACAGGCCGTGCCCGCATCTCTCCTCAGACGGACTCATTTCAACCTACGGATTGACCCCGTTCTGTTTTATTCCTGGCGCGGATCTAGGGGGAGAGTAATAGTGTTCACGAACCTCCAAAACTGGGTTATTTCTTGTGAAATAACTTTTTTGCAAATAACAAATGGATGCAGAAAAGGCAGGAGTATGATTGTCTCTGGGTGAGACTCCTGTAAATGCTTTTTGCAAGGTACTCAGTACAATTAACGGTAATAATTTAACAATCTACATTAAAACAAACAATGATAATCAACGGTTTAGACAGTTTTACAAACATGCAGTTGAAATACTTGATGACTCCGTGGCGAAATAGCCAAGGTATTGGCTTCGGCCGCAGAGGGGCCCCAGACGACCCCAGAGGGTCATGGGTTCAATGCCCACACGGAAACTATTTGTGTGAGCCACAGATAGGTATTTCGCATCTGGGTGTTTGTCCGCGTGAATTTTATCATTTTAACGTCCTTAAAATGGATAATGTGAATGTGAGAACCAACATGACATAGTCATGTCGTATTGGTACTCAAAACTAATATTACATTATACATATATTACTTATGAAAGAACTACCTATAAAACAAATAAAAGGCGCGAAGTTTGTCACCTAGAGCATTGGGCGTGATACTTTGAAGACGCAAATTCAAAAATTTTTCGACAATCATACTATTAAAATTCTCATTTAACATTTCGACAAAAATGCTGATTATCACTAAAACTTAAAAATAACCCTAAATGGGACCATTCATTGGGATTTGTATCAACAAGCTGACATCTCATTATTTGAGTGGCTAGGCCGTAGGAACACAATAGTAAACAAAACACACCTGCCCTTGGTTGGAGATGAGTTTAAGAGGCACGCAGCGTTTCCACAGCACCAGTCCAGTGTCAAAGAGGGCGGGAGATGGAGCTATTTTTGCTCCAGCCTGTCCTACCTCCCTTTCCACGTCACCAGCATACCATTTGCTCAAGAATGTGGGATGCATCTCAATCTTCATATACTGTAAATATTTTGAACCTTTCAAATCATGGTCTTACAAATGACCATTATATAAGCCAAGTGGTAAGAGGCAGTGAAAACTCAAAATCTCTGAGGACCTTATAAATTTCAAAATAGTGAAAATGTGATTATTGTTGTATCATATTAAATATTTAATTTAATTGTAAACATGAAATTGAATGTAAAGTGGTCCAATGGTGTTTGTGTAACAAAATTATTTATTCTTGTAAACATTTTCTTCTAATAGATAGATGATAATTTGACTTTGGCACTTGAATTTGATGGTAGCTATGGATAAGTTTTTCTGACCACCATCCATCTCAGCATTTGTGTTACAACATCATAATACACATTAAGATCCATCCATAGTTAAATTGCTTAAGCTCACCTAGATTCGCTTATTTGACAACCTGATTTAACAGCTACCTAATATTAGTTTCTTTTTTATTTATTTTGGGACTATACAGCGTGTCTTTACAATCGCAACAATAAATGAACACACATATAGGGGATAACTTTTTAAAATTGTATTAAACATTTATATTCTTTAAACATCAATATTTACAGAGTTATTAAATTTTCCAAAACAAAGAATTTTAGAACACCCTTACATATAAAACTGTAACGTAAAGTTCATTTGTAAAGGTCACAAAGCATATGAATGGGTAGAATGAATATAAAAGAGACAAAACATACTGTTAGAGGACACTATGGCGCGAGTTGTACAAATTGTTGTTACAAATTTTGTTTCTTTTTTACTTAATTAGTTTGTTTGAAAAATATTTTCTTTCAATTATGGATTTTGTTTAAGGTTAATATTATTTTATGATTATTGGCAAGTAGCATTAAACGTGTGTTCATTTATTGTCGCGATGGTAACGACGATGGTATATTGTTATGTATAAATATGTCCCCACAACCCAACTTATCAATGTGGTTATAGGTAAAAAGAAATATATTAAAAATTACCTTCATACACTCCCCAGGTTTATAAATCTTGTTCAATTCTTTCGCCCTCTTTCTTTCCACCTTCTCAGCCAGTTTTTCATTCTGTGCATTTCTTTTGACAGATTTACTTGTTTTCTTACTTGCCAATTCATTATTTCTATCATCTGGAATGAAATTAATTTTATTATTAAACCATTTGCTATTAAGACCCAGAGAGAGATATATTCTCCAGATAAGATGATATAAAATAAGATAGATTTAATGTATGTATGTCCTAAAAATTGTTATTTTAACAAAAACATTACTATTAGGTTTGCTTTTGAAGTATCTAAGTTTTAATATGTGAAATTTCTTTTTGCAATAATTTCTTATATTTATTAATAATTCGGCAAAAACATTTAAAACATAGTTAATGACGGGTTCTGATATGATACTGTTGTGTAATATGTATGTCATATCTGCTTGTAAATATGTTATTAAAGTTTTACATGAATAATAAAGTACTACATAGCTTGACAATGGGCAAAAATTATTGCTTTGCTATCTGATGAATGCGTTACTAGAGTAATAATTCTTACCAGTATTTTTTTCCTTTGTTTTTGAAATCTTTGTTGAAGATTGTGATGAACTGTTAGAACTTGATGCTAAAAAATGAAAGCTTCAAATGTATTTTAGTTGTACTTCAGATATACCTATTCCAAAATGCACAAGTTTGCTTAGTGTATACAATGTTTGTAAACAAATTTATAACGATTAAATAAAGTTTTTTTTTTGTATTTGTAAATATACCTGAACAGGACGACTGAATATTAACCGGTGGCAAATTTTTGAATGAATCATTACTGTTTTCAGCATCATCTGAAGATATTTCCATGCTTATATTTATAAATTAAAATTTAAACACAAAGTAAAAGTTCATTGACAAAATACCTGTTATATTTCTGTTTTTTTTTTTTTTTAGTAGAACAGAAAACTGATGTCAACTTACGTCAACCCTCAACAGCCAACTGTCAGTGTCACTGTCATCAACTCAACTAATCAGTTGTTGTTTTGTTGTGATATAATGGAAATTGCAAATTACCATATAGTTTTTATTAGCGTGACAAATAACAGAAACGTGGCAAAAACTGTCCACTATAGAGCAATTAATATAAGTTTCCAATATAGAACCTGTTGAAATTGGTACCTTGGGTCTTTAACAAAAGACGTTATTGCTTGCGTTTGCAATAACAGATGGCGCTGCTTATTTGTTAAATAAAAATATGTAATAAAATCATAATTTATTTTATATAAAAAAATAAATATTTTAAATATTGAAATAAAGATTTACTTCATATTTTTATCATTTTATTTTATGTTAATTGCCTATGTGGTGTTATATTTGTGTAGGTATGTTGTTATATTATTTAAATAAAAAGCGAAATACGTATCAACAAATTGAAAGATTTGGGTAACCACACGATATCTAACAAGAATTTTCTATTTTATGTTTATAATATTGTTTAAAAAAATTAAAAACGCAAGTGTATTTAAGCCTAGCGACAGCTGCATAATAATAAAATCCTAAAAAGGTTGTAGAATATAAAGATTTGTGTAGGGATGGAAATGTAAAGCGAAAAAAGCACAATCAAGTTGGTTTTATATTCAGATAAAAAACAGACGTTCAGAGCACAACCTTTATCGATTTCACATAAAGCTCATAATAAATCTCACGGCGTCAACTTTCTCGTACCCTTACATTTAGGGTTGTCAATTTAATTTTTTGATTCACTTTGTAACAGTATTAATTGTTTTTCACCATTTTTCTTGGATGTACGCCAATCTAATGACCTTTTTCAACATATTATGAAGTTTCTTACTTATTATAATATACAGTTTTATTTGTACTCTTTAACGATTGAATCGATAAATTTATATTTAATTTCTGTTGTTGTTTTAATACTTTTACTAAAAATCTTGTTACTGTTCGTGCATATAACATTATATCAATTTTATAATAGTTATTGTACTGGATATGACTGTTAGGCGCGATGAAATATGATCATATAAATCAACTCAACAATGGAGTAGCACATAAGTAAAATATAAGTTCTGTTCCTATATTTGTCCAATATATTTAATTTTTCAGAAAAATGTAAGTAAGAAATTTTGATTTGCTTATTTAAATTCTTGATTATATTTCCAGTAACGCGCAATATTTACTACTATTTTTTGTGGATTAGGAACCTACCGCTTTGCAAATCCCAAAGTGACATTAGGATGTGACAGACTTACCGGTTATCAGGTTTACAAATTAAATTTCCTAGTAGGCTTGGTAAAGACTGAATCATACTAATTATTTTACACATATAACTTAAAAGAAACTAATTTAAGCGCTCAACAGAATAGTTAAATATCGTAAAACCTATCAGAAATGGTATAAATAAAGTAATTTCTCGAAATATACAATAGAAAATTTTCTTAGAATCCGCGAAGTGATTTCGTAAGGTCTAAAATTTAATTAAAAAATGAGCCGTCACGAGACGCCTGGCAGATGTGAAACATCGACATTATTTTGTAAAAGTAATATGCAGAAAACAGATTGTGATAGGAACTAAATATGTCATAATGATAACATAAAAATTTACGAATTTATTTCAAATCGTGACTATTTAATCAGTGACTTCGGTAATAGTACACACATTTAATTAAAGTTAATTTAATTAATTATAACAATTAATAATTTAATTATTAACATTAATTTAAATTTGAGTAATTCGCGAATCGTACACACTACTGCATATAGACTAAGTTGTATTATATATTCTTTAAACATCAATATATAGCGTCGCCACGCGTCGCCACGGCATGCGTCCCCACGCCAGAAACACAATCAAAAAAATGGGTTGAATGAATTTAACAGAAACTATAAATGTCCCACAGCTGGCGCGAGTTGTATAGGGCAAAGGCTTCCTTTTTACAGAGGGTATCAGGGCATAGTCCACCACGCGGCCCAACTGCGGATCGGCGGACTTCACATTATCTTCCAAATAATTTTTTGTTAGGTATTATTTCGAAAATATGCAGGTTTCCTCACAATGTTTTCACATTATCTTCCAAACACCGCTGAGGTATTATTTCGAAAATATGCAGGTTTCCTCACAATGTTTTACTCTAAATTTCACTTTAAATTATCAATTTCATTGGCACCGGGAATCGAACTCTGGTTGTTCGAGTATATGGAATTGAAAGCGACTGTTCGATTATTATTAAATTTAATTATTATCCAAATATTGTGTAGCAGAGCCATGCAGCAGCTACTGCAATATGCGAATGGGCCGTCTCGTTCGGCGAAATATATCGGTCCTATAGAGGTTCGGTATATAATTAAGGGATTTATACAACAATACATGCTTTGGATTTCGCCTAGTGTATGAGACGTACGGACTTTTAAAAGATGGTAACGCCAACTGTACGCCCTGCGTTTGTTTGTGGTTTGTAATCACTTATACTTATTCATTAAAATAATTAGTAAGATTATTGAGGCGTCAAATGTATAAAGTAAGCAGCAAGATGTAAAATATTACGCATAATTATACAATATGGGCTAATACAGTGTGAGGATGTAGGTATATATTTCTCAAATTTTATCTTAAACGTCAAAAAAGTAAACGATATCAATATAAATAGGTCATTTAAAAAACATTTAATGTATTAAAACGGAATTCTTGCATTATTAATCGCAGTGTGTAAATTCATACTGCAACGCCGAGAAAAAAGAAATGAAAAGTTTCTTGCCCTTACATTGCCCTCAGAGAAGGATTGTTTGGCGCAGGCTGAATTAATTCAAGCTTCAAGCCTTTTGCGATCCGAGTTCTACGTGAGATATGAGAGGCTTTACCACAGAATATAACGCGAGCAGAACTGAAAGATAAAACCGAAACTAATTTAATTTAAACGATAATTCATGTGCATGTTACGGAATTTTGTATTAGTATTTTAATCAAAATGGTTTTGTTCCTTCCGTTCTTCTTTTTAAGATATTTGACAACATAAATATTATATTTATTTAACGTACAACTCCAGTCAAAAGAAAGTCTCCACTCCAGTCAAAGTTGGGTCAAAAAGAAATCGTTAACTTGGTGGATTACAATTTCAGTTTGAAAAACATGTTCTGCACAATTCCTACTCTTTGGCGAAGGGTTCCCTTATTTTCCCTCCTCCTGCAGTCTGTCTTTGTTTACGAGGGCGAGCGGCCGTTGCTCCGTGCGCCGCGTACTGGCGCACGCGAGTCGAATTTTAAAAATAAAACTTATTTGGCGCGCTGCAATATCCTGTTCGGTCTCCTAGGATACTACGTTGTTATTTTTAACTGTGATTCAGCAACATTTTTACACCTGGTTTCACCGGAAAATATTACTTATATGAACGCGTGCTGTTTAAAGAAACAAAAATAAATACTTAGCAGTGCACTGTGCAACCTGTTCGACTGCTTTCGTGTCCGATATTTAACCAAAGCCGGCAACGGTGAGTAAACAAAAGGACCAAACACTTCGGGATCGCGATGTGTGTATGTTCGAAGTGAATCAGTGTATCGGTGATAAATAAAACTGGCGTCGTTATTTTCGAACGCGACCAAAATGGATTGGCGTGAGAAGCTTTTCGGCAGGGCACTCGTTAAATGCGATTCGCCGGGGACGCAGAGCGGGCAATTCGAGAATGTGCCGACTTTGGAAGCTTTGGGGGACTGCGTTGAAGAGGGGGAGGGGGCGGTTTGCGGGATCTACTTCTCGTTTGCGAACATCAGCGATACGAGTGACGATTTCGGTGTCAGGCTGGAGGAGGTGTACAAGAAGGTGCAGCCGCGTCTGAGAGTCGTTCAGGTCGTGTTGTGGGCGCACGTCGGCACGCCGGAGGGGCCCGTGGAGCGAGAGGCCGGGTTCCGTCGCAGCCTCACAGGGAAACCGTGGTTCGCGGTGCCCTTCCACGACGTCGACATAAAGGTGAGAGGACTAACTCTATTACCCTATAGCCATGTATAGTAGACTAGCTGCTGCCCGCGACTACGTCTGTGTAGAATAGACTGAAGGCGTAACATTAGGACAGAAAGACAGATATACATAAAATATGTATATAAATTATAGCCTATGTCTTATTCTGATGTATAAGCTATATTATTGTAAAGTTTCATTAAAATCCATTCCGTAGTATTTGCGTGAAAGAGTAACAAACATCCATCCATCCATATATACAAACTTTCGCCTTTATAATATTAGTAAGGATAGATTGATGACTCCGCGGCGCAGTTGCCAAGTCATTGGCTTCGACGTCGGGGGTCGTGGGTTCGAACCCCACACGGGACAACTATTTGTTTTGACCCACAGATAGTTATTCCGCATCTGGGTGTTTTTCCGCGTGAAATTTATGATATTTGTAAAACGTTCTTACAACACTGGATAACGTTATCCTAAAGTAAGGTCAGTGTTTTAACACAAGACTAAAAAAAGGCAGGCAAAAAAGAGGCACCATTCAGGTCCTGTATATGCCCGGAACTAGCGGCATCCTGGACTTAAACTAAACGGCCCACAGTGATGATGCGTCCCTACGTTTGGTGTCTAAACGTTCTGTTCTGTTCTTCTTGTTTGATAATGATAGCTCTATAGGTTTCTACGATTTCTACAAGGCTATTTATTCCTCCCCATACCTCGTTGTTTAATATTGAGATCTCTCATTATTAGCAAGAGGCGAGAATATAACATGTGAGGAAAGTAAAAAAAAGTATCAGCCTATAAATGTCCCACTGCTGAGCAAACGCCTCCTCTATACAGAGGGTATCAGGGCATAGTCCACCACGCGGCCCCCCTGCGTATTGGCGGACTTCACATATCTTTGAAATATTTTTTTTGTTATTATTTCGAAAATATGCAGGTTTCCTCACGATGTCTTCCTTCACCGCTGGGCACGTGATGATTTGGTACTTAAAATTAACAATTTCATTGGTACCGGCACCGGGGATCAAACTTGGGTTGCTCGAGTATATTGAATTAAAGGCGAACGCCTGGACACTGAGCTATCACGTGTGAGGAAATTATCGTTTAATATATGAGGCAATTCTTAATATTGTTTATGATTTGCCTCATAAAATATTATAGTTAAGTCTTAACTCAATTGCTAATAATATCGCGTAACAAGCTTAATGAAAGTCGAATTAAGTTATTGCCTCAGCTAGTACAAACGTCAAAATCAATTATCGGTGCTCAAATGTAGAAGCTTCTAGAGAAAAGTAATATTGGTATATTTACAATAATAAGTTATACACGTGACCGATGGCCTCTGCTGACTTTACTGTTTTTCACTTTATGCAAAGCCAATGTTTGCACGTGTGAAAGAAACGGAAAGAGGAAACAATCATTTTAAAAAATACCGAGATTTTCGTCGTTAATCTGCGTCCGCAAACCGTTTTACAGATAATATGCATAATAAGACAAACGAGCTGGTGGTTCACCTGATATTAAGTGAAAACCGCTCCCATGAACATTTGCAGTACCCGTAGGGTTGCAGATGCTTTGCCACCTTTTAATAAAGTGGGCCCCGGCTACCTCACTCACCAGACGAAACGCTTTGTAACACTTCTACTTCACGCCGGTCTTCTGTGAGGTATTGGTAACTCGGACGGACCTGCCCATTCGTGCAACAGCGAACACCCTATCAAAGTTTACCTACATCAGCTTTAAATTGATTCTAAAGTTCATACGTTTTTCCTACAATTTAAAGATTTTAAAACAATTTGAAATTGGAATTGAAAAGCAAACACATGCGATAAAATCCACAAAATAATTTTAATTGTCTAACTATTACCAATTGAGAAATAAAACGAAACATTTTTGAGCATATCTGATCATGTCTGATGACCTAACTGAAGGTCGCGGGATTTCTTTGAAACCGCCGCGTCTGACCGATCAAAATGGAAATCCCTAGAGGAGGTCTATGTTCAGCAGTGGACGCTTACAGGGTGAAATGGTGATGACTATATAAAATTGATACTGGCAACATACATACATATGTAGGTACATAGAAGCAACTTCGTTTGAGCTTCATTTCTTCATTTCGCCAATAAATCCGACCTAAAACGTATCGTGCCGGAAACCATTGCCCAGCAACAAACAAAAAAAGTAAATTAAAAAGTTTGTTAATTAAGCCCGGCATCAGCGCGGGGCATTCGACGAAGTTTAACATTACGGTTATGTATACCTCTTTATTACTGCTCTGTGTGTGTTTGCTATTTCGTGCATCAGTCCTATAAAGAGGAATCATCACCAAACTTGTTAGACTTAATTAGCTATTAGGTGTTCTACCTGATGGAAAGTAGTCGAAGTAAGATTTTTTCAAACCGTTTTCGACGTCTTATAAGTGTAAGTGGTGAATTGAAGTTTTCGTAAGCGTTAGGTTAAAAGCATTTACCTAGTTTAGTTGCATATTATATCTAAATGGACTTTAATATGCACTTATTGTAATCTTAATAATTTATATTATTATTATAGGTTATTTTTTTAATTTATACGATTATCAATGTTTCAGCGACCGGGCGTAAATATTGAAAAAGCTCAAAATCTCTGTAATCATAACATTATTGATATATTTTGAAGAGTTAGGTACTCTTCACCGCACCCGCCTTGTCATGATATTTGTGAGCAGTTTAATGTCTCCATCTAGAAGTCGTTGGATTCGTTCTCTGTTCGTTACATCATCGCTTTATCGTTGTGGTCGTCGACCTTACAAAGTGGTGACATCAAATATATGGGTATGACTCATTTTCAAGCGCCATTGTTTGTTCTTCAGCCGTTCTTACTTGCGAAGTTTGTAATTTAATATTTTCACTGTTGGAGGCGCATCTTTCATCCGTCGTACAATATCTCATATTCCAAAGCTACAAACAGACAGATTCATCTTCATCAACAAAATTTAATCCAGAACATGAAATGTGCTGAGTCGACACTTCTCGCTTTACAAAGGTGATTTCACACGTAAAAATTAGAAGTTAATGGCATTGTATATACTTTGAATATTACTCCTACTGTAGGATAAGATATTTATAAGTCAATGCAATAAGTAAATGTTGTGTAGTAGAGGCATTATACAAATACAAACTAAAATAAGAAACAATATACTGATAAAAAGTGAAGTATCAGTCTACACATATGCCACTTCACAATATCATCGAAATATTTTATTTTTTATTATATATAGGTGTATTATATATGTGTTATTTCAAAAATATTGTTACGATCTAGGGTTTCGGGATTGGAGTAAAACACCCTTTAGTTAAACTTTCACTTTGTTGACGCCTCAAACCATCCTCAAAACTGCAACGCGGTAGTTATCACTGAACATCGGGTGAAACGTCAGCTCCCTTGCCTCTTTCTCATATGAAAAGAATAAATAAAATAAAACGTATATTTTTTACTTCTGCAACGCAAGATCGAAAGCGACATTGTACAACATACTCTCATACTGAAAGTACAAATACATTACATTTTAAATTACACTTTTTAACTGTAATTGAATTTAAAACTGAAACTGAATTTGAAACTGAAACTGAATTCATAAAACTGCACCCTCAAACAGTATTGGTTTTTTACCAGTATGGTAAAAAAACGTTAGTTTATTACATACTGGTAAAAATTATACATACATTAGTTAGCGTTAGCAGTTTGATATTATTATCAAATTGAATATTGGAGTGAATTGCTTTAGTAATAAAGTTCTTAATTAGGTTAAATTTTTGGTTGTGGTAAAGTAGTTGTAGTGAAATTATACGTTAATTATTTTATTTTGAATTATTTGAAATGAAATCAACCGGATACTGAGACGTCACGGCTTACATAAATACCCTTATTTATTGTCAAGTGGCGTCTTATAAACCAGGATTTAAGATCCAACTTCGCGTATGAAGTAACTTACGCTACTAAAGTGTTAATGGAAGCCTCTGAGTTTAGTTATTAAGAGTTAGTTTCGTAATCGGTCTGAACGCAGACGTCCTACTTGTGGTGTGTTCAACCCTAGCTTAGCGCGGTCGGCCTAATAGGCTCTATCCGTTCATTCGCACCCGTCCCGTCAATACAATTGGTTAATTAAAACCACGCTAATTGCCACCGTGCTTATTGTGTGGCACACATCGTCGAATCGACGTCTTATTTTATAATTAAAAAGTATATTTTTTTAATAAGTTTATTGACGTAACTACGATCAACGCAGCGCTTTTTCCCGCCCTTTTTAGGGTTCCGCACCCAAAAAGAAAAATTGACCGTATTACTAAGACTCCGCTGTCTGACTATCTGTTTGTATGTCCTTATGTCACTGGACTGTATCTCATGAACCGTGATAGTTATACAGTTGGAACTTTCACATATAATAAAAAATACTAAAAACAGAATAAAAAAATATTTAAGTTTTTTTTAAAAATAGAACGCAAGTTTTTGCTATGTCATTTTGTAACTTCGCTAGATCTTGTGGAACGTAATCGAAAATCCCTGCAAACATATGGTAGATATTCTGCGGCTCTAGATTAAAAAGTTTTAAGAAAAATGTCTGCATGTAATTCTTCAATTCATCGCAATACTTGCACAGATCCCCAACTTTGAGGAATGTGAGAATGCCTCCAAGTTGCCAGGGCCCGCCACGTAAAGGGGCCCCCCTCTCGTAATTATGAGCGGGTGATAGGGGTGGAAGAGGGCCGTGTATCACCCTAAATTACTTTCCACCCCTAGTACTCACCCCCACGGGGGTATCATTTTTTAGTACACTGCTACTTAGTTCAGGTGGGTACGTGAATTGTCATAAGGGGGCACTCTTTACGGCCCTCCTTGGTTACGCGAATTAAACGATTTCAAAATTGAACTTGGGGTATTATGTTGAGCAGCTTTCCTTTTAATAACTTGCCTGAACTTTTAATAACGTGATATAATACCCACTTGATAATGATATGCTGCATTTTTTGGTGATG